TTTCCCCCAAAGCCCCAGTACATAGTTGTCTGTCATAGGTGCACATCCTTCTAGTTGCTGTATGTGGGACGCGGCCTCAGCATGGCTGGAGAAGCGGTGCTTCGGTGCGCACCCGGGATCCGAACCCGGGCCGCCGGCAGCGAAGCGCACGCACTTAACCGCTAAGCCATGGGGCCGGCCCATGATAGTCCATTTTTTGATGGCCTCTTATTCCCTTAGACTAAGTCGATTTGATGCTTTTCCTCTTCTGCGTTATTGTTGTCACATCTTATTCTTTCTTGTGTTGTGAGTTTGTGTTTAACATGATGAGGTTATATTTATGCTTGGTGCTTACCTTCCCTTGATCTTTGGTTTTATAATTAAGTGTTTGGTAATCTATTTTGATAGAGGACTGCAATTTTTCTGGTTTTGTCGACCTATTTTCCTCCTTGTTCAAAACTTTGAATCCCCTTTCTCTTTTTTTCCTCAGGGATGAGGGCCTTTTTGAGCACTTATTGTCGTGGGGGTCTTGTGGCAATGAACTCCCTTAGCTTTTGTTTATTTGGGATAGTTATTATTTCTCCATCATATCTGAAGGATATTTTTGCTGGATAGAGTATTCTTGGCTGAAACTTTTTGTCCTTCAGAATTTTGAATATATCGTTCCACTCTCTCCTAGCCTGTAAAGTCTGTCGAGAAATTGGCTGAGAGCCTGATAGGTTGACTTCTGGGTGCTTGTCATTTTCCTTTTGGTCTGGAGATTTAATATATTTTTGCATGGTGCCTGTCAGTGTTGGCTTACTTTTCCACACAGTGAAAATATATGGTCGCAGTTTCCTCTTGCTGCAGCTGGGTCAGGGTCAAGGCTGGGTGCCTCGATCTGTGGGCACTCTCATTGGCCCCTGGCTGATCTGAGGCGTGGCTGAGTGGAGGCTGCAAGAGAGGAAGTGTGGGAACAGCTGGAGCTGGAGCGTGGGAACAGCTGAGACGAGCGCAGCTAGGCTGAAGCAGCTGGGGCTCTGGTGCTGGTGGGTTGAAGCAGCTGCAGCTGAAGTGGCGCTTGGCCAAAGAAGCGGGAGCTGGAGCACCGCTGGGCCGAAGAAGCTGGAACTGGAGAGCGCTGGGCTGAAGAAGGAAGAGCTGGAGCGCCACTGGGCCAAAAAAGCTGGAACTGGAGTGTGCTGGGCCAAAGAAACTGGAACTGGAGTGCAGTGGGCGGAAGTTGCTGGTACCAGGTCAGCTGGAGCCTGCGCACAGGCCAAGCTGAAGCAGCTGGAGCCAGGGGGATGGGGGCGGTCCAGCGAAGGAGCTGGGGGTGGTGCACGGTCCAGCCGAAGGAGCTGGGGCCATGGCATGGTGGAGCCGGGGAAGCTGGGGCCGTGGCTTGGTCCAGCTGGAGCAGCTGGGGCTGTGGTGTGGTGAGGCCTGAGCTGCCGCTGCCTCTGGTGTGGGGGCGCAGGCTTGCTCCACTGCTGGTCGGGCCCAGGTTCCTGGGGGCCGCTGCCTGTGGGGGTGGGGGCCGCTGCCTGTGGGGGTGGGGCCCGGGTGCCTGAGGGCTGCTGCCTCTGGGGATAGGGGTGAGCTGCAGCGCCAGTCGGGCTGGCCGGGGTGGGGGAGGGGCGCTTACTTTCGCCTCCCCAATCTCAGAGGTTTCTCACCTCGCTGTCACTCTCTGCTCTCCTGGGGACTAGCTTGTTGAAACTACCCTGGCAACAGTTTTGCTCCCTCCATAGGGTGATCCCCTCAGGCTGTGAGGGGTCTTGGACAGCGCTGTTTTTCACAGGGCGAGCTGCCCCTCCCCCTCCTCTGAGAGCCGCGTGGTCTCAGTCTCTGGGTCGCAGTCCTTGGGGAAGGAAGGAAGCTCCTCTTACCTCCTTCCACTTACTCTGGGGATTCCAGCACCTCAGTCCTCGGGTGTACGGCTGTGTGGGTGCCTCAGATGTCCCCTGTGTTGTGTGAATAGCTTCTGTTGGAATATGAATGTCCTTTATGTTGTGTCTTAGAGGGGGAGAGTTCAATGGGTAAAGCTCACTCTGCCACGATGCTGACGTCACTCTTGATTGAGTTCCGTTTTGACACTACCCGTAGTTAGTGTCAGACCCCACAGGTTAAGGGATCGGTCCCACCAGACTGTCCCCACTTCAGACGCCAATCACAAGTCCTAGGCCTCTCATACTTCTTACCAGCGGGCTATAAATCAGGGAGTTCCCAGACCCCCTCTTTGGGTTCAATAATTTGCTAGAATGGCTCATAGAACTAAGGGAAATACTTTGTTTACTATTACCAGTTTATTATAAAGGATACAACTCAGGAACAGCCAAATGGAAGAGAGGCATAGGGCAAGGAGGTGCACAGAGCTTCCATGCCCTCTCCAGCTGCTTCACCCTCCCAGCACCTCAAAGTGTTCACCAACCCGGTAGCTCTCTGAATGCCACCATTTAGGAGATGTCATCACATAGGCATGATAGATTATTAACTCAACCTCTAGCTCCTCTCCCCTCCCCAGAGGTTGGGGAGATAGGGCTGAAAGTTCCAAGCTTCTAATCAAGCCTCGGTCTTTCTGGCGACCAGCCCCCGTCCTGAAGCTATCTAGGAGCCCATCCAGAGTCACCGCATTAAAACAAAAAATGCTCATATACCCAGGAAGTTCTGAGGGATTTAGGAGTTCCCTATCTGGAACTGGGGACAAAGACCAAATATTAGAACAAAAGACTCCTGTCACCTCTGTCACTCAGGAAATTTCAAGGATTTTAGGAGTTCTTTATCAGGAACCCAGGACAAAGACCAAGGTATATTTCTTATTATGCCACACCTTCTTTCCTGTATGTCTGGATCCAAATTTCCCTCTTCATTTAAGGATACCAGTGTATTGGATTTAGGGCTACCCTAATCCAGTATGACCTCGTCTTAAGTTGATTGCATCTGCAAAGACCCTATTTCTAAAAGGTCACATTTCACAGGTACCCAGGGTTAGGACTTCAATATATCTTCTTGGACACAATTCAATCCACAACACACCCCGTCTTCAGCCAACCACTGATCTGCTTTCTGTTGCTATACATTAATTTGCATTTTCTAGAGTTTTAGATAAATGGATTTGTACAGTACTCTTTTCTATTTGGTTTCTTTTACCCAGCATTATTTGAGATTCGTCTCTGTTGTTGCATGTGTAGTTTATTTCTTTTCATTGCTGGGTGGTATTCCATTGTATGGATATACCACAATTTATAACCTGTTGATGGACATTAGGATTGTTTGCAGTTTGGGGCTATGACAAATAAAACTGTTATGAACTTTTATTGTAAGTCTTTGTATGGGCATATGCTCTCACTTCTCTTGGATAAATCTATACCTAGGAGTAGAATGGCTGTATCATATGATAGATTTATGTTTAACTTTTTAAAAAACTACCAGATTGTTTTTCAAAGTGTTTATGCCATTTGACATTCCCACCAGCAGTGTATGAGAGTTGTAGTTGCTCCACATCCTTGCTAACACTTATTATGGTTCATCTTATTAATTTGAGACATTGTAATAGATATCTCATTGTAGTTTTAGTGTGCATTTCTCTAACTAATAACGTTGAGCATCTTTTCATGTGCTTATTTGCCATCTGTATATCTTCTCTGGTGAAATTTTTTGCCTCCTTTTTTAAAAAAGTGAGTTTTTTTCATTTTTGAATTTTGAGAGTTCTTTAGATAATTTGAGAGACAAGTACTATATCAGATATATGCTTTGGAAAGATTTTCTCCTAGAGTCCATGGCTTGTCTTTTCAGTTTCTTAACAGTGTCTTTTGAAAAGCAGAAGTTTTCTTTGAAATTTTGATGAAGTTCAATTGATATTTGTTCACTTATGAATTGTGCTTTTTGGTGTCATATCTAATAAATCTTTGCCTAACACAAGTCATAAAAATTTTCTTCTTTCTTTCAGAAGTTTTATGGCTTTAGGTTTTACATTGAGGTTTCTGATGGATTTTGAGTTAAATTTTTGTATCTGGTGTAAGGTGTACCCAAGTTTTTTTTTTTTTTTTTTTTTGGCATAGGATTAATACAATTGTTTAGGGAGTATTTTTTAATATTCTGTTTCGATTTTGTTTGTATATGTGTGTGTGTATTAAAAAACACCTTTATTATAATGTTTGTGAGAACAGTAACTAGTGATTTCTAATTTCATCAAAGCTGCATTTTCTCTAGATAGTTGTATTTTTTAGGTGTAAAATTGGGCCTGGTGCATAAGAATCACTGTACGTAAGGTGAAGTTGTGATCTGTTAGAGAACAGGAAGTTGTTCTTTATTTCATCACAGCTATATCACCCTTTACCTGTAGGTCAGAAGATTGTGCTTTTGTCTGTTGTGTGTCAAATTAAACTCCAACTGAATCACTCAGCATCTTCATAGACATCAATAGTGATTTATGTGACTTTTTATTTCCTGGAATTTATTGGAATGAACAAGTTCATTATATCATAAGGTTCTTAAAAAAATTCTTAGATGCAACTTATAATATTTTTTCTAGGACAAGAAAAATATCTCTAGGCAATGTGCCTTTTAAAAATTATTATTACTTTTCTGCTGTACTTGGGAGATTATTTTCATGTATTTGTGGTAAACTGTATATGTGCAGTTAGAAGTCACTTTAGCACAACAATATCAGTGTACTTAATGCCACTGCCTAAACACTTGAAAATAGTTAAAAAGGCAAATTTTATGTTATGTATATTTTGCCACAATAAAAAGAAAAGTAGTCATTTTATAAAGCATTTAGACTTGTTTGAAAAGTGCTCATTTCTCTGTGCCAGTAACTTACATGTGACCTCCCACATTCTCGTGGTCTAGACTGTAGTGTGTATAGGAGAGGAGTCCCTGCCAAGCTGCCAGTTCAAATGTTTGTTTCTTCCGGAGAGACAGACTCTAGATAACAGCCACAGGATTTGGCATATGCCTGAATTTTAAAATGGGTGATGGTAAACTATGCAGAAGAAAATGGAAGCAGTATTTGAGAAATTTGTTCTCGGCAGTTGTATAAAGCTTTATGGATAAAACTCCATTATCCAAGTCCATAAATTCATATGGATTCTGAGAAATAAGCTTTGGAGCTAGTTTATTGTTGTCAAAAATGTCAAGCCAAGAATATAATAAGGCCTGGAAATGATATAGCTGGACTTGTTTTACAATATGTATAATAGCAGTCTTTTTTATTTAAAATACTTTAATATTTCTGTTTACTTTTAGTCGGCAGAACCAATTGAAAGACCAACAGCAACAGCAAGTGGTATCGTTATGCCCTGATGACACAGAGTGTCTGACAGTCCCACGGTACAAGCGAGACCTGGTTCAGAAACTAAAAATTTTACGGCAAGAACTCTCCCAACAACAGCCTCAGGCTGGCCATTGCCGCATTGAAGTTTCCAGGGAAGAGATTTTTGAGGTAAACTTACAAGTCTTATGGAGAAAAATTAAATTTCAGTGTTTTACTCTCTATTACTAAGAATATTTTTGGGACTCATATCTCTTTAGAATGGAAGAGTTTTTATTAATTTCTTTTTTAATTGTGGAGAATAAAAACAATATAAGAGATTTAATATATAGGATCAACATTTAAATGGGAGGAAGAGTGTGAGATGTTTCACTTGGTACAGCCTGGTCTCTACGTTGCAAATCCTTATTTGTTAATGAATTTTAAAAGACCACATGGATAGTATATACTATCCATCTCTTACTTTCTAATTTTCCAAAAGGTAAGGGACTCTTAAATCAAAAGATCATTTTGTTTAATTACTATTGGACCACTTCCTTAATTTATTGAAAATCTTCCTTTCTAGAATGCCCATTTATCTTTGGATTTTATAGCCCTAATATCAGCTTCAAAGTTCTTACATAGTAAGTGGCAGAGGTCCAAGGCAGGGGTTTCCCAGTCATTAGAGGATTCCTGGGCAAGATGTTTGGAGACTTGATAATGTTTTTCCCAAAGGATGAACTTTTGTCTCTCAGAACAGTTCTGAAACAGTTTTGTTTGTGGTCAGTCATTTGTATTTTAAAATAATATAAAGTTGTTGATTTAATGAAGATCACATTAATGATTACTCATGTTCTTTTGAAACTTTCTTTTTCTTATCTTTGCTTTCTGCTAGTGCCTGTGACCTAGAATTAGGTCAGCAAACTTCCAAGAATTTGGTACTTCTGTCAAATTCTGTTTTTAATGTGAGTGGAACCATTGCTGTGGTTCATAGATCTGAAACATGGACTGTTGCACTTAGTAGGCTTTTAATATAATATTTATCAGATGAATTGGTTTCAGTAGTATTAAGCTGTATCCATTTTGTTTTTAGAAGTTCCATGAGGTTTCAAACAGTTGGAGTTTATCTACTGATTTGATTGAACAGATTTCACTTTATTTAAATAAATGTATGTTTGTAGGTGGAGTTGGGAGGGAGAGTTTATAATTTTATTTATTTATTTTTTCCCCCAGAGCTCCAGTAGATAGTTGTATGTCATAGCTGCACATCCTTCTAGTTGCTGTATGTGGGACGCGGCCTCAGCATGGCCGGAGAAGCGGTGCGTCCGTGCGCACCTGGGATCCGAACCTGGGCCGCCAGCAGCGGAGCGCGTGCACTTAACCGCTAAGCCACGGGGCCAGCCCAGGAGGGAGAGTTTAAATAACAGGTTAAAAGCCCCTAGTAATAATAGTATATTAAATTTTTTTTCAGGAATCATATCGACAAGTCATGAAAATGAGACCAAAAGATCTCTGGAAGCGATTAATGATAAAATTTCGTGGAGAAGAAGGCCTTGACTATGGAGGGGTTGCCAGGTAAAGACTTGCTCATCAGTAAATGACATATGGATCTTTATACTTAACAAATTTAAGATACTTCCTGTGGTATTAGTTTGGATTTTTAGAATCAATCACTTGTACATAATACTTAGGACTTAGTTTCTGTGGAATTCTTATGGTTTACTCATAATTAGATTTTAAACGCTTGTTGGGAAAACTTTTAAATTAACTCCTGATGGGGCCAGCCCTGGTGGCCTAGTGGTTAAGTTCAGCATGCTCTGCTTCAGTGGCCCGGGTTCTGTACCTGGGTGCAGACCTACACCACTCATCTATCAGTGGCCGTGCTGTGGTGGCGGCCCATATATAAGAAAAGGAAGATTGGCAGTGGATGTTAGCTCAGGGTGAATCTTCCTCAGCAAAAAAATAAAATAAAAAATAAATTATCTCCTGATGGAGTCTAAATGCTGTAATTATATGTATAGGCCAAATAAGTAGTCAGTTATTTGTTATTTCTTTTTTTTTTTCTTTTTCTTTTTTTTTTTGTGAGGAAGATCAGCCCTGAGGTAACATGCGTGCTAATCCTCCTCTTTTTGCTGAGGAAGATCAGCTCTGAGCTAACATCCATTGCCAGTCCTCCTCCTCCTCCTTTTTCTCCCCAAAGCCCCAGTAGATAGTTGTATGTCATAGTTGCACATCCTTCTAGTTGCTGTATGTGGGACGTGGCCTCAGCATGGCCGGAGAAGCGGTGTGTCGGTGCGCACCCGGGATCCGAACCTGGGCTGCCAGTAGCAGAGCGTGCGCACTTAACCGCTAACCCATGGGGCTGGCCCTGTTGTTTATTTATTAACCTCACTATTGTTACAGTTGGGGCAGACTAAATGGGCTATGGCAGTGAACTGCTTTTTCTAATTTTTATTCCATAGTAGAAACCAAAAGTAGTTGGGTTCTGCTCTTACGTGTGTTCTAAATACTTGGTGAAACAAAACAAAAATTTGGATTTTCTTTAAAAAAAAACATGTATGTGCATAAAAAGCTTATGAGACACATCAACATCAGGTGAGCGTTATGTGTGTTGGGAACCTTGCTTATATGGAGACCTCACTTTTTTTTTAATCTTGAGTTTTTTAAGTATTACATAAATTGCAGTGATTTGATTTAGACTCACATTATAGAACATTGAAACATTTTCCTTTAACTACTTGTTAATAGTATTTCACTACATTTGCTAAAAATATACTATTCAATCTGTTTAATCCGTGATATCAGAACATATCACTTAAACCTTTCCTGAGGAATGACAAGAATTGAGACTAGAACTACATCTCCTTCAGTCCTAGACTAGTGATTTTATTTCAGTTTCACCAAGATGAATAACAAGTTATCTTTCATACTTTGAAAAATATAAAGTTTAAGGTGATGGTACTATTTATTATGAGATTTCATTGATATACGCTTGAAAACCAACCAAGAGGTGGTAGGAACATCCCCCAAAAGTGCAGGCTTGCCCTTGTGTTCCTGCCTAGACAAAATGCCTTGCAATCTCTGACCACTTATGTTTTTATCATGGTATATTTTAGGATTTACACAAAAAAAGATGGTGAAATGGATAATGAAATTTCCTTACTAAAACAATACCAACAACAAAACACACCCTTGTCTAAAAGTGAGAGTAAATTAATGCTATATTATTTATCTGCATAAACTAGTATAAATCTGCCGTGAGAGGAGCAGACCAGGATGGTATAGATCACATGGACATTTTGAAATAAATGGTGTTCCTCCCTTCGTCTTATATTTATCATGGATTACAAACTTATTTAGCAATTAAAAGTAACAGACCACTGGGCTGCACATCTAATGAGTAATGGTGCTTCTGGATAATATCTTTATACTCTCTGATGCTAAAATGTCATAAAATTGCCCAAAATTGAGTGAGAAGTAACTTTAATATAACAAAATAAGAGTTTTCATTTGCTTTCTGGGCATGGTAGATTTTTCTGTGTGATCTTATATAACTACAGTTAGTGGTTTATTTAAAAAATTATTTGGTGAAATGATTAATAGCATATCTTAATAAAAATATATTCATTAACAAAAAATTCCTTTGTCATATCTTGTTTTCTAGGGAGTGGTTATATCTTTTGTCACATGAAATGTTGAATCCATACTATGGCCTCTTCCAGTATTCAAGAGATGATATCTATACATTGCAGATCAATCCTGATTCTGCAGTTAATCCGGTATGATTGGTAGTTATAATGATGTGAATTAACTTGTGACCTGCAGTGCTTTAAATGTCAGTGTAGTTTATGACATAGCATTACTGTCCTTGTCACACTCTTGCACTCAGCAATTCCTCTTCTAGAAAATTTTCTTGAGTAAATGATTATGGATATGTCCAGCTGTTTGGGCACAGGGATGTTTACTGTGTCATCATTTATAGTAGCCCCAACCAAAAACAATGTCGTCGTCCATAAGAGGGGGGTTGATTGATTAATTATGACACGAAGCAGAATGACATTAATGGTTAAGAGCATAGATTCTGGAATTAGAAAGATATGAGGTTGTATCCTGGTCCCATTACTTACTAGCTTTAGCTTTGTGACCTTGGGCAAATTCATTGACTTAAGCCTCAATTTTAACATTGCTAATAATAATAAATATAGTTCGTACCTTAGAGAAGGTTGTGACAATTAAATGAGGCCCTGCACATTAAATATTAAGCACAGAGCTATACATTTTTAACCCTATTATATATTGTTAAGCGCTCAACAAAAGTTAGCAGCTGTTATTAATTTGTTGTTTTTATATTATTTCTATTATCTTTCCATACAAGGGCATATTTTATACAGCCACTAAAATGACGTCGTGGGAGAATAGTTAATAACATGTAAAGATGGTGTTCATGATATATTAAGTGAAAAGAAGGTTACAAAATAGTATGATAGAATTTTGGTAAATATGTATATGTGTAAACTTTGAAAAGCTCTACACTATGATATTGATGGTAGTTATCTCTAGGTATTAGATTATGGGTGATTTTTTCTTTTTTGTTTATCCATATTTTCTAAATATTTTGTAGTGAACATGTATTATTTTAAAAAAAAAAACAAAAGCTATTTTTAAGATAAAAGGAAAGTTTAAAGATGAGTTAAAAGATTACTTATTGAATAGAGAAGTAAAATGCAAATATCCACCTAACAAAATTTATCATGAAAGACCAAATCTATGCAAACATGGTAGAAATGTTAGATTCATTGCAGGGAATCCTTTATAAAGGGAAGATTTTTAGGTGAAGGTTCTGCTTGGGGAGTCCATTACTGCCACTGGAGTAATAACAGCCCACGTTTGTTGAGTGTTTACTATATGCCAGGTCCAGTGCCATGGGTTTCATCATCTCAAGATACTTTTTAGATACTGTTTTTACCCTCTTTTATCCAGATGTGGAAAATTAGTCCTATGGGGGTTATAATTTGCCCAGGTATGCATAGCTAGTAACCGGCAGAATCAGGACTCTGGTCCAAGTTAGACACCAAATCTGTGCTTTTAAATCTGTGATATTTTGAAGTTCAGTTTCTAGTTAGGTCAAGGAAATAGGGAGATTTGGGATTGAAAGCTTTTTTCCCAGGACAGAGCCATGATTGTATGGAGCTCAGTAGGAAATGAGAGGGGAGGAAGGGAACAGAGTCTGTGAGTGATTTAATGAAGCTATAGTTACTGTAGTTTGGACTTAATTTCTAAAGATAAATTTTACAGAGTGACTATACCCTTTGAGAGAGGCATTGACTCTGATGTAGTATTTTATAGCAATGTAGAGAATCTTGAGCATGCCCTATAGAGACTCTCCCTAATGATTAAGCTTTGGTAGGATAGCCTATTCCATTTAAATAGTTGTAAATTAGAGTATAAGTTGATACTTTTTATAAAAGTAGATTAATGTTGCTTAAATATTTAATTTTTACTTAAAAATCCCTGGATAGTGTCTAACTTGCATATTTATATAAACTTTTCAATTTCAGGAACATTTATCGTATTTCCACTTTGTTGGACGCATAATGGGAATGGCGGTGTTTCATGGACATTATATTGATGGTGGTTTCACATTGCCTTTTTATAAGCAGTTGCTTGGGAAGTCAATTACTCTGGATGACATGGAGTTAGTTGATCCAGATCTTCATAACAGTTTAGTGTGGATACTGTATGTATTGAGTCTTGTATCTGTTCATTATAGTTAGAATATGAGCTTTTAAAAAAGATGCATGTTTCAAAATGGATGTACTTTTTTTTTTTTTAATTTAAGAAACAATGCACAGAAAATATTAAGAGTGATGATCTGAGTGAAAGGACCACATATGACTTTCCCTCTTTCTACTGCTGTCCTGTATATTTCAAATTGCCAAAAGTTAGTGAGTGTTATTACTTTAAAAAGGAAAAAATCTGAGGCTGGCCCAGTAGCATAGTGGTTTAAGTTTGCATGCTCCACTTTGGTGGCCCGGAGTTTGCAGGTCAGATTCTGAGCTTGGACCTACACACCACTCAGCAAACCATGCTGTGGTGACATCCCATATACAAAATAGAGGAAGATTGGCACAGGGCCAGTCTTCCTTAAGCAAGAAGAGGAAGACTGGCAATGGATGTTAGCTCAGGGCCAATCTTCCTCACCCCCCAAAAAAAAAACTACCATATTTTATTTTTAAAAGTACTATATCGGGGCTGGCCCGGTGGCACAAGCGGTTAAGTGTGCGTGCTCCGCTGCGGCGGCCCAGGGTTAGCCGGTTCGGATCCCGGCTGTGCACCGACGCACAGCTTGTCAAGCCATGCTATGGTGGCGTCCCATATAAAGTGGAGGAAGATGGGCATGGATGTTAGCCCAGGGCCAGTCTTCCTCAGCACAAAAAAGAGGAGGATTGGCAGATGTTAGCACAGGGCTGATCTTCCTCACAAAAAAAAAAAAAGTGCTATATATGATTTCCTCAACATGATGCAAGTCCTATTCCAATCCTACATGTGTTAGAATAGCAAATTCCTGCTCAAGTGCTGATTGTTGAAACCATACTTTTAAAAGGGTATTTGTAAGGACAAGTTCTGTTTTGCAGGAGGTCATTAGTTTATGAAGATACATTGGCCACACTTATTTTTACCAAATAAACGATTAGCTTTCTCACTGGGGATACTCAGGCATTTGGTCCCTTGGGGGTACCCAGATTCTAGGAGGGCCTCTTACCTGACTGCCAAACATAACTGAAGTTTCCCTAGGTAAAGCCCACTTTGTCTGGGGCTCTTTCTCATTACTCAGGAAGTGAAATGTTTCCTGTGTTTTTGAAAGCTAAAGATCTTTGACTCTTCTGTCCAACAACTAGGAGATATAGTAGCACAAGAACTAGTAAGAGGAATCTGACATGTCATAAAACTATCTTAGTTTTATCCATTTCACCAATTAATACATCTATAGGATCTGTATTTTAGATTTTCCGGTTAAGTATCTTTCCCTCTCTTTCCTTTCTAGTGAGAATGATATTACAGGTGTTTTGGACCATACCTTCTGCGTGGAACATAATGCTTATGGTGAAATTATTCAGCATGAACTTAAACCAAATGGCAAGAGTATCCCTGTTACTGAAGAAAATAAAAAAGAATATGTCAGGTAAACACTTCTATGATCTCAAGCCTGAGAATTGTTTTAATGGTCTAGAATGGCAGTAGGGAAAAACATTTTAAGGATTTAGGTAGTGTTAATTATTCCTACAAAATAGGCGTCCACAGAATTTCGTGGATTAAAAGCAACCACCATTTTATTATTTCTCACAATTCAGTGGGTCAGTAATTTAGATAGAGAACAACAGGGATAGCACACTGCTCCTCCGTGTGGTGTCAGCTGGGACTGAAATGTCAAGATGACCTTTTCACTCACATATCTGATGCCTCAGCTAGGATGGTTGAAAGGCTGGGGACTGGCTGGAAGGGCCACTGGGTCACCATCTGAGGCCTAGTTCTCACGGTTGGCTGGGTTCCTTGGTTATCCTCATGTGGTATCAGAGGCTTCTCCCTCTCCCCGTGGCCTCTCTCCCCAGCAAGAAAGCCAGACTTCTTATGGGGTGGCTGGTTTCCCAGAGTACAAAATCAGAAGTTGTCAGGTCTTTTTAAGGCCTAAGCCTGGAACTGGCCAACATCACTTCTGCTATATTCTTTTGGCTAAAGTGAGTTACATGCCAGCCGGGTTCAGTGTAGGTGAGGGGCTGTACAAAGGCATGAATACCAGGAAATGTGGTACATGGGGCCATGTGTAGTGAAGCTACTACAGCTAGCAACACAGAAGCACTTATCCTGTTTATAAATAAGCACATTGTGAGTTTAAGGGATAAATATAAGAAAAGATTCTTCGCATTTTATAAAATCACCTGTTGATTGAGGAATTTAGACGTATTGGGTTAGATCATTGGGCTTATGGTAACTAAAGTTCTTCTAAACATAAAACTATGATAGTCATATTTAGGAGTTTGAACTTCACCATATGTACACAGAAACATGCATGCTATACTTTTTTGTATAGATTATATCCTCAAATCTTATTGACTAAACTTTTCTCATAGACTGTTGATGGGAGTGAACAGTGGTATAGCTTTTTTGGAAAGCAATTTGATAACAGCTACCAAAATGGAAATGCACATGCCTTTTGACTAGCAGCTCCATTTTTAGAAATCTATTCTACGGAAACACATATGTAATTAAAGAAATATGAATAAGGATGTTCAATTAAATATTACTTGTAAAAAAAAATGGAAAACTGCTAAAGTGTTTTTAGAGGATAATGATTAAATACATACAGTCAACAGAATATTATGTGGATATTTAAAAGAAAGAACAAGAACTCTACATAAGCTCTCAGATATAAAAGGCAAGTCTTAGAAGAATTATGTAAGAACAAAGTCTGTGTTGTTTTATAACAAAGGTAGGAAGGCTACCTACCGAATAAAGTGTCTGCCTAGGATGAGGGAGTGCAGGTGGTGGGCCTGGAAGTAGAGAGGGAAAAGAAGATAACAGAATGGACTTTCAGACTTTACTCTGTCTCCGCATTTAATGTCTGATTGTTATATATATGTATACTAAGCATGTATTACATTTCTAATTAAAAAATAAAAGAATGAATAGGAATTTCCTGAATTTTAGTAGTGTTGTCACTTCCAGGATCTAGTGTGGACTTAAGTTCCTAGTCCCACTCTCCAGGATTCAGTCATGTTTTTTTTTTTTGTGAAGAAGTTCCGCTCTGAGCTAATGTCTGCCAGTCCTCCTCTCTTTTTGCTGAGGAACACTGGCCCTGGGCTAACGTCCGTGCCCATCTTCCCCCACTTTATATGGGACACCGCCACAGCATGGCTTGACAAGCGGTGCGTCGGTGCGTGCCCAGGAGCCAAACCGGCGAACCCCATGCCGCGGCAGCGGAGCGCGGGCACTTAACCGCTTGCGCCACCGGGCTGGCCCCTCAGTCACGTTTTTAACACACAGTATTATCCCTTATAAAATAGTTTTGAGATTAAAAAAAAAAAATCACAAAGAACAACTTTTTAAATATGTGCAGTTTTGCTGTCCCCTTAAACAAACTAACAAAAATGAGGTCCCCCAAAGGATATAATGTTAAGTAACTGATTTCTTAAAGTAGAGAACTATTTCTCCAAGTTTGGAAAAGGAAATATTGACAAATTTGGAAGATGAATAGTTCTGAGAGGTTTTCCTGGCAGAAAAGAAAATTATAGATTAAAATTGTATATTTTATATAAAATTATATAAAAATTATATATTTTATATAAAATAATAGATTAAAAAAATTCACTTATAAATTGTAAGTCCAAATCAAAAGCATAAGTAAAGCTACACATTAGATGTAGTTTAGTGTACTTTTTGTTGGTAAAATTACATCTTCCAGGGTTTTTAAAGCCTCCAGGGAACAATGAGTATTCAATCAAAAAAGTGCTTACTGTTGGCTTTTACTATTTCCCCTCATTTTGGATATGAGGATTCTCTTTATCTCTTCATCCCCCATATACTGCCCCCAAAATATAAACAAAATACCCAATACATTCAGATTATATTTTCAAGTGAAACCAGAAAAATAGTCATTTTTTGGTTGAATGGACTCTTTTTCCTGGTCATTGGCATGCATGTTAGAAGTTTAGAAAGAAGTTTCATCCAGATTGTAACTTCAGACCCATCTAAGCTCTAGCCAACTTCCAGTTTACTAGAAGTTTCTCTGATTTGAAGAGTGGCTCTACTGATGCTGCTTTTGTAAGTGGAAGGTTACCTTTCTGATTTACAGTGAACTGCCTCACAGCTCAGGATCCATCTACCCTCAGTAATCTGAGATTCTTTTAGACTTTAGACTAAATTCTTAATGCTAGATGCTTGTAAAGTACAATGTTGCTAAAGATAGACATTCATAATAATTAGCAGATCTGAATATATTTGATCACATGAAACCCCTGCCCAATGCTTACAGGCTCTACGTGAACTGGAGATTTTTACGAGGCATTGAGGCGCAATTCCTGGCTCTGCAGAAGGGATTTAATGAAGTAATTCCACAGCATCTGCTGAAGACATTTGATGAGAAGGAGTTAGAGGTCAGTGTATTAATGTCATGACATCATCTAGTGTAACAAAGACAGACTGGGAATTTTCTGTTACTTAAGTTTTAGAGGAAAATTGTATTTCTGGTGTTTGTGAAATTTTATGGTGCAGTGCTGTGAGAATTCTTATTCACAGGAAAAGTCTTTCCTGCTTTGGAATTTCTACATGTAAGCAATCTCTTATGTGGTGAACATTCTTAATTAATTTTTCTGTATTATCCTTTCTTGTTTCCAACAGATTTCTTGTCTTATGTGTACATTCTTCCAGTGTTGTTTTCTGTTCCCTAATTAAGTGTTTATTGATTTAGTTAAATAAAACTTCATTAATTGGTCTCCGCCATATCAAAATTTATTTGGAATAAAAGCCCAGGCTCAGCTGGATTTACACTAAGGTTTGCAAGAAAGCATTTGGTAAATAAGATCATAGAGGAAATAATTTAAACACTTAGGATAAACTGTATCTAAAACATCCTTAGTCTCTTTGGAAACATTTCATTACTAACTGTAGCTGTAATAAACAGTTAACCATTTCTTTTTTTCTTTTAAAGCTAGTCCTTAAAGCACCTTAGGTCTAGTTTTATTTATGACCTTTAACAAATATATCTGAATTTCCATTGAACTACTCTGAAAAAACAACAAGGTTTTATTCTACCAGAGGTCCCAAATTTAATTAGTGGCTAGGGATAGCTTAAATATTTGAAGTCTACAAATAATGTAAAACATGATTTTATTCATTAACTTCGATGTCCTTTCTAACTAAATCTGTTAACAGACTTGTTAACAAACAAATCTAAAAAGGTTGGTTTGACTGCTATCATCCCTATTCCTTTTGTAATTGACCTATTCAATAGTGAAATGGCCAGAAGGAAGTAGTCAGGAGGAGGAAGAACACTTAGCAGGAATGGCAATAAAGTTGAAATACAGTGCATTTTCATCTGTTCATATAATGAATGAGGGATTTGGTCTTAAAATTACCACCCCTGAAGAAAAGAATTCAGGGAGGTATCTTTTGTGTTATAAATACATCTGTAATCATATTTGGATGTTCAGTGTGGCTCTGATTCAGTAATCTTTTCAGAACTCTGTAGAAGCTTTGTTGGAGATTTTATTCAGTAGGGTTAGGGTTTATTATATAGTTTCTACTGCTAATGAAATTCAACTTTTAATAAAAATATATGTATATTTTTTAGTGTTATACTGGGTTAATAGAATTAATTATAAAATGTAGGATTTGCAAGTTACATTATGTTTTACACTATACACTATCATAATTCACTGTTAGAAGCAGTAAGACAAGTTAGTCTTGGACCCTCAGGAGATGTGAATATTGATAGTATCAAAGTGATTTTGATATGGTTCATCTTACTCACCTTGCAGCAGGACGCCAAGCAGAGCTCTGTATCGGTGCATTCGCATATTTCGTCCTTTGATACAACTTTAAGGTTATCAAGCAGATTGTATCACTTATTCAACTAACATTTCTTGAGTTCCTGTGCGTTACTGGTTGCTTGCACACGATGAAGTGCAGTAGATGTTACTGCCGTACTGCAGCACAGGAAACTGCTGGCCAGGAGAAATGAACCTAATTGCCTGGAATCCCAAAGCTAATAAGTGAAACCAGAATAATGTGATGCAGGTCTTAAGGAAGGCACATATAAACTGTATTTACTCTTTGAGTCTAGTTTCTGTCCATGAAAAAAATATTTAGAGTTCTACTATGAAATTATGAAACTTTTATCTTGTCAACATCCATCACAGTGGTGGTTCTCAGACCCTGAGTAGGGAACCTGCAGTGAGTAGGTACCTGTGGACTTTTTTAAAATACAGATCCTTAGTGTCCCCCCGACTCACAGAATTAAAACCTCTGAGCATAGGACCTGGTGTGTATATTTTGAAAAACTTTCCGGATGATCCTGATGTGCATCCTTGATTAAGAACCACCATATGAGAGCCAACGCCGCAGATCTAAAGTTCTATTTTGAGGAATTTTTGGCTTAACTTGGGTTTCCATTGGCTCATTATTTGTGCAATATTTTAACAGCTCATTATTTGTGGACTTGGAAAGATAGATGTTAATGACTGGAAGGTAAACACCCGCTTAAAACACTGTACACCAGACAGCAATGTCGTCAAGTGGTTCTGGAAAGCTGTGGAGTTTTTTGATGAAGAACGACGAGCACGGTTACTTCAGTTTGTGACGGGATCATCTAGAGTTCCTCTGCAGGGCTTCAAAGCTTTACAAGGTAAAAAGGCCAGAGGGACAGACCATGTGGCATCACATAATTGGGGGAAAGGAATCAGTATTTTGTTTATACAGATAGTTTAAAACCATGTGCTTATAAACAGATTCTCTTTTCCCTCTATTTCTTATCTATAGCTCTGTCTTGACACCTTCTTCTCCTTCCTTTCCTCTGTTCCCCTCCCAAGAGCCTTTTCGGCTGGGGTTCTCTGTGATTGTAGTGAGTGCCGCATGTTACAGACAGTCTGTGTGATGCTCTGCCTTTTCTTTTCTGGTCACCTTGCTTTTAAATTCTGCTGCACATTCCTACAGGGGAAGTCTGTGTGCTTCCTTGTTCACATCTCAATCTGGCAAAACATTTACCCACAGGGAGAGGTGCCTCTCCCCTCTACTTTTTTATTCTTTTAATAGAAAGAGGCAGCATGAGTTGTGGAAGCCATTTGTTTGGTCAGAGCACTTTAATTATTGCATGGCATCAGACTATTTATTTACAGCCATATTCCGTGTTTAGGAATCGTTTTCCATGGAATAGCTGTTTAACTTGGGGATGAGCTGGTAATGTTGCTGATGATTGTGGTGCTTCATTGTGTGGCAGTTGCTTCCTTTACCTCTGAAGCTCTTCATTTTCAAAGCTGCTGCTGCTGCTGCTGACTGAGGATGACTGACGCAAGATGGTACATGATTCGGCAGTGTTGCCTGCAGCACATATGTCCAGGGTCCCTGGGGAAAGCGTACTTGGAGTTGTGCTTACCTTCCCTATTTGGAGAACTCATCATCAGACTGCTCAGATGCATAAAGTGAAGTTGTATTTCCACGTACAGTTGTACGGGGTGCCTTATGTTAACTGAAATTGATTCCATGGACTAGTCATCTTTTACTCTCAGCCAAGTTTGAGTCATGAAACCTAAATTTGCGCTAGGCTGTCATCTTTTTGAATGTGTGTATATGTGTTTCGTCTTGGATTTGCTCATTTACTTTTCTTCTCATACTTTTGGGACATTGATTTTTCTGTAGAAGATAGAACTTGGCCAAGGATTCAATCCTGAACTTTTTTTCAAATTGAAATGCTAGTATAGTAATGAATCCAGCCTTATCCAAGGTCAATTCTAGCTTTCAAAACCCGGATTCTTTTCCTGCTGCCCTTTGGCAGCTTGTGTGGTCACCAGTCTTCCCCATCCCTAGACCCTGTGGTTTATGTACCAGTTTTATTGCGATTTTGGAGACTAATCCACGCACCTGCAGAGATTTGACCAACATCGACTTTTTCTGCAGGTGCTGCAGGCCCACGACTCTTCACCATACACCAGATCGACGCCTGCACTAACAACCTGCCAAAAGCCCACACTTGGTAAGTTATTTTTGTCGTTTTTTTCTCCTCGTTCCATGTATGTAGGTGTTAGTTTCAAACAGATTTGACGTTTCATTTATTGTTCTTACTACTAAATGGACCTTTAAAAAGAATGATAAGCAACTCTTTTAAGTGATTTAAGATTATTCAGAAATTGGTAGGAAAATCTGAGAGTGGTAATCTCTACTTGAACGAAATATGACCTTTTTCTTTTAATTTTCTATGTGACACAAAGAGTGATGTGGCTGTATTAGTACACACTAGGCCGGTTTACTTGAATGAACTGTGTAAAATCTGATTTGCTTATTTACAGCTTCAATCGAATAGACATTCCACCCTATGAAAGCTATGAAAAGTTATATGAAAAGCTGCTAACGGCCATCGAAGAAACATGTGGATTTGCTGTGGAATGACGAACTTCGAGGATTTACCCAGGACTCTATTTATACCCCTCCGACAGCCTCCTTTCAGCAGAGTTTCAAGGAATGCTGAAATACAGGAAAATGCCCCTCCCCCCTTTTTTTAAATTTTAGGACACTGTGAGGGGAAAAGACAATTTTGAAATTCCTTTTCAAGGAAAAAAAGAGGTCTTTATGCTTTGTCATGAGGCCACATTCAGCTGCTATTTAAAATTAATATCTTGAACCTAAAGAATGCTGACTTTTCCTACATTTCCAGAGTTAGGCAGTATTCTATACTTAAAGACTACTACTATTTTTATAAAAGGTAATCTATTCAAATCGCTTCACAGATTTCAAGTCTCTCAAACATCAAGACAACCTCAGCAGTCGGTACAAGTCACATTTCATTTTAATTGAATACATGATTTTGAACAGCTCCTGTACTTGCTCTTTGTAAAAAAATAAAATAAAATTATTTTGAATTATTCTACCTTTGTAAACAATTGGCTAAAAGAATCATTATCTTTAAAAAATTAAGCCATTTACATGTTTAATTACATTTTTCTATAGCAAAGCATCATATTTTAAAAGCATTATATGTTTCAACCTAACCTAAGTGAGTCTTTTTAATACTTTTCAAGCATGAATTTCCTGGAATACAGCTATATAATTTTGGTTGTCAGATTCCTAATGCAACCATTTAATCTAAACTTAGTAGCTTGTTTGCTATAATAAGATGCATTCAGGGGCTCCCTGTTTTTAAGAGACTTAAAAAGAAATCCTAATTTTTTTAATCTTGAATCAGTATGATCAGGTATTTTGGATTGACTTTTCATCTAAAATGGAAATACTGCATTTTTATAGCTCCTCAGACCATGTGGATGGGATGAGATTTTCATTCTTTTGCTGGGTCAGCTTATCTTTATACTATTTCTGTAAACCAAAGTCTTCTATGACAAGTGCACCTAATTTATATTATATTTTAATTATGGTGTAAGTTTCTATCAAGTAAACCATCCTGAATCTTTCTTTAGCTGCTCATGATATTTTAATCAGCTAAAATTATGAAAAAGGAAAAATTCTGCTCTAAAGATTATTTAGCAAGCTTAGAAAACCCTGCTTTTACCTAACAAAATGAAGTGGGGGTGGTGGGGCAGGGGATGTGAGTACTAAAGAAACAGTGATTCTAACTCTATGGTATAAATTACTTTAAAACTGAAGAGTTAATTTTGGAAGTAAGGGAATCCCAGTTCCCTTGGTGTTGAAGATCAGCATCTGATTTTGAAATACCCAGATTTAGCTTTCAGGGTGTGTGGCATGTTGCATGATCCAGAAGGCAAGCAAAATTCTGGAGTGAGGGATTGGAAAAATCTGAAATCATGGGTGGATTTTTAAATTCAACCAACAGAAATCTCTACACTGTTGTATTTTTTTTTTTTACATTGATGTGAAATCAAGAATAGCAAATTTTGATGAGATAGCTCTGTTTAAATTTGCAGCTTAATTATCAAGTGAATAGGCCCTTTGTGTTCTTTCATTTGGTGGGGATTGGTTTTCAGTCTGTGTTCTTGGAGCCAAGGGGTTCTTCAGAGGTGCCTCAGAAGTAATAGTTTAAGAGAGGAAGGACAAAGAGAGGGAGCGGAAAGGCCAAGGTAGTATTTGAGTAAGGACCTCTACCTCCCCACCCCCACTCCCTTTACCCAGAGCAGCTCCAGGTTTTCTCTTTTATATATTGGAATTCCAAGTAAGATTGCATGGAGGGCAGGGGGATAGGTGGGATAAAAGAAGGGGAAATTTTGCTGCTTAAAAAAATGTTGAGAACTACTTGTGTAGTTTCTAAGTATTTAAATTTATTTCATTCCGCCAAATTTGCTACATGCAAGCTAGTCATAATCATAACTGTGCAGTGGTAATGTGCTTATTCTGATCTTTTTCTTCCCAAACACTTTGTGTTTTCCTACCACATTCTTTAGTAGTACTGAAGAACATCTTGAAATGTACAGAACAGGTTTCTACACTATTTGATTATCGGTAATTTTCAGCTTTCACAATAGTACCTTATTGGTTGCAGGTCCATCTCTCTTTTATATTAAAGCACTAGTGCAGTGTAATTGTGCCTACTCTTATAATCTTTCAGTAAAAAGTACATGATGAATGCTTCAGAGAAATCCTAACTGATGGATGCAGTAATAATGAAATGCTACTATCATAATGTATAATATAAAGCAGGCAAATACCATCGCTGTTTGAGTGCCTTTTTAATTTTATACTAATGACTGAATAGAGCTTTAAAAGAAAGAAATTACTCTCCCTAACAGTCTGTGGTATCACCAACATACTTTATAAAAACATGATGATTTAGATTTCATTTCCAAAATTGTTACCTGATTACTTCCAAATAGGTGCTAAGCAAACAAACCCCCCCAATGTGTCATTGAACCTTGGACTTGCACGTTATGTTTAATGTGAATATTTATTTCCACATGTCCCTCTTAACTGGGTTTTTCTAATCCTTCCTCTAGTTATTTCAGATATGTGATGTCACGTTCCCATACATTGCCTTTCCATCATGAATGCTTAATTCTCTACAGAGGTTACTTTGTAGAGCTCAGATGCAGGACAGAGATGAGTTCTGTTTCAGAGGGTCTCATTTCTTGGTGTAAAGAGTGTTTCAATAGTGCTGTGTATAGTGTACATTTTGTTTTGCACATAGTTTGTTGCCCTGAATGGGTTTTATTTTTACCAAGTCTTTTTTTTCCTTGTATTTACGGTCCAGAGCACAACTTTCCTTTCTTTTAAAATTACAATGTAATTTGCTTTCTGTTACAACACTAAGTCTGCTTTGAACTTCTGGTGTATTGAGCTGATCGCACTGATGGGAGTTAGAGATGTTCCAGCTGTCTTCACAGTTTGGTGGAGCGGCTCCTCCTGCTTCTGTTTCCAGCTGCAGCAGTCAGCGGGTACCCTTTGTGGTATTTAACGTTCTTATGTTAGGATGATGATTGTACCAAATGCTGAGTTGTTTTGTTTCTAGATGTAATTAGTTCACTAAATGTAATATTCTTCCTTCTCTCAAACTGACTTTAAAAACAAAGTTTTATCATTTTCATTGTATTTGTATTTATTACAGAGTGTTTTAGCTTTGATACTCTTTGTATTTTCACTCAGTTGTTACATGAGCTTTATCAATAACATCTGTATAAATGGTTTTTAAAAATTAACTATGTATGTGCCCATGCCGAAGTTGAGCAATAAAATGAATGCTGTTTGCACTGTCACAGCATCAAAGTTTTTAAAAAATATTGAGTTTATAATGAATTGTTTTGAAAAAATTTGACTAGATCTATGAAGAATGACAGCATTTGAGCCATAAAATGAGAAGTTGAAGAAGACTCACATGCCTTTCTTAGTTGACGCCTTTTCACATTGCAGAGCTTCAGAGAACTCAGGACACCCTTTCTGTCTCCAAGTGGAGCAGAGAAGGTACTTGTTTTCTCCTGTCATGGCAAATGGATGGGTTGGCAGTGGCTGTTGGGCGCTATGTGGAGTTGGATCTCTGAGCCTGGTCTGGGCTCATTGGGGAAGAGGGTTCCAGTACTGGAACAGTGTCTTTCAGGACTCTGGAGGGCAGAGCTCTGGTAGGGGCCTCATATGCTACCTTGGTGTTGAGCAGTAAGATCCCCAAAATGGAAAGGAGAAATCATATTTTTCCAAGAAGCCATGACTTTAAGGGTCATGATTCACAACTCTATAAATGATAGTAGATGAAAGTCAAGCTAAATAAATACATGGGCGGCACAGGGAATGGATGTTTTTTCAACCAGAATACAGTCTTTGTCTCTCCACAGCATAGGCCACACAGAGAGGACTGTCTGGAAACGCAATGTAAGTAGTAGTGGTGTATTAAAGTTCAAAGAGTGGGCATGCTGTCCAGTTTTTATATCCTTTTGAAATTGATTTTTTCTTTGTCTCACTGCCACATTTACTAGTTATTATCTAAAATTTGTAAAGTTAGTTACTAAAATTTAGTAAATTAAAGATTTTAGTATTATTACAGTCTATAAATTACCCAGAAGTTTGATTTGACTAATATGTGGTAAGTTTTTCTGCTGTGTGGTGACCTGAAAGGGTTGTCCCTTCGTTATAATGAAGGTTAACCTTGGCACCCGCTATATTAGTTTGTACTTCGTACCCCAAATGCTTACAGTAGGATATATGCAACAGAACCAGAGCCTAGTAACAGGATAGAGGTACAGTCATGTACCACTTAACGGTAGGGATATGTTCTGAGAAATATGTCGTTAGGTGATTCTGTCATTGTGTGAACATCACAGACTGTACTTATACATACCTAGATGGTACAGCCTCGTACACACCTAGGCTGTATGGTATAGCCTATTGCTCTGAGGCAACAAACCTGTACAGCATGTTACTCTACTGAATACTGTAGGCAACTAACACAATGGTAAGTAACTGTGTATCTAAACATAGAAAAGGTACGATAAAAATACAATATAAAAGATCAAAAATGGTATACCTGTATAGGACACTTACCATGAATGGAGCCTGCTGGACTGGATGTTGCTCTGGGTGAGCCAGTGAGTGAGTGGTGAGTGAATATGAAGGCCCAGGACATTACTATATGCTACTCTAGACTTTACTGTACACTTAGGCTACACTAAATTTATTAAAAAAATATTTTTCTTCAATAAATTAGCCTTAGCTTACTGTAACTTTTTTACTTTATAAACTTTAGATTTTTTTTTTTTTGGTGAGGAAGAGTGGCCCTCAGCTAACATCTGTCGCCAATCTTTCTCCTTTTGCTTGAGGAAGATTGGCCTTGAGCTAACATCTGTGCCCATCTTCCTCTATTTTGTATGTGGGACGCCGCCACATTGTGGCTTGACGAGGAGTGCCTCAGTCTGCGCTCGGGATTCAAACCTGCAAAGCCAGGGCTGCCAGAGCAGAGCGCACGAACTTAATGACTATGCCACAGGGCCGGCCCCCTTTAAATTTTTTTAACTTGACTCTTGTAATAACACAGCTTAAACCACAAACACATTGTACTGCTGTACAAAGATTTTCTTTATATCCTTATTCTATAAGTGTTTTTCTATTTTTTTTTTTTAAATACTTTTTAAACTTTTTTGTTAAAGACTAAGACACAAACACACACATTTGCTTAGCCCTACACAGGATCAGGATCATCAATATTGATCAATAATGGAAGGTCCAGAGGCAATAACCTACATGGAGCTGTAATCTCCTATAACAATGCCTTCTTTTGGAATACTTGCTGAAGGACCTGCCTGAGGCTCTTCTTGAGAGGAAGTGTCACTGTTTTCAGAAATATGTCCATGGTGGCTTGGTTTTTTTTTTTTTTTATCATAGATTTGTTTTGTTTTGTTTGCTGAGGAAGACTGGCCCTGAACTAACATCTGTTGCCAATCTTCCTCTCTTTGAGGAAGATTTGCCCTGAGCTAACATCTGTGCCAATCTTCTATTTTGTATGTGGGTTGCCACCACAGCATGGTTGCCGATGAGTGGTGTAGGTCGTACCTGGCGGCCCAAGTGGAGCATCTCGAACTTAACCACTAGGCCACAGGGCTGGCCCTATTCTTCTCTATTAATGAAAACCTTTTGGGGTTGGGGTCCCTGTTTTCAAACTTTTTAAGGAGCTTGCTGAGGTCTGCAAAAGCTTCAGCTAAACCGTTCACTGTAACTTTTCTTGGTGGTTCTTTTCTTGGTGGTTCTTTTTCTCCTGCAGTTTCCTTCTCTCTTGCCTCTTCTTCAGCTATGCGTTCCTGTTCAGTTCCAACTCCCCATTAGTCAGTTCCTCAGGGACCACCTCTAGGAGCTCCTCAATGTCATCCTCATCCACGCCCAAGTTAAAGTTGTTTGCTTTCTCAACCACAGCCTTGTTCATTTTTGCAACCGCCTCATCTTTGGCAAATCCTTTGAAATCATGGATGAACCTCTTGAGTGTCTTCTTGCAGATGCCATTCATACACTCCTTGGTGCCATCACCTCAAGCCCAAGTAAGCTTCTTGATGCAGTCATAGATGTAATTCTTCCAGAATTGTATTAGTGTCTTCCTCAGTTGCAGCAATAGCCTGGGCAAAGGTCTTCCTTGGGTAGTAGGCCTTAAAAGCTGCTATAACTCCTTGATCCATTGGTTGGGCAAAAAGGTGGTGTTTGGAGGGAGAAACACCACTTTGACATTGGGAGGAAGATCATCAATAAAAGGAGGATGTCCGGGAGCATTATCAACAATAGACAAACTCTTGAAAGGTATATTATTCTCCAAACAGTACTTCTCTATTTTGCTGGCACAGCAATTCAGGAGGGCATCTTGGAAGAGGAGCTAGGTCATCTGTGACTTATCTCTCCTGTGGTCCACTGGCAGTGTATGTTTATTGATATGCCTTGAAGGCCTTGGGATTCTCACTGTGCCAGATCTCAAAGGGTTTCAACTTACAGCCTGCAACACTACCCCCAAGCAAGACTCTTGTCCTGTCCTTAAAAGCCTTGAAATCTGGCATTGACTTGGCCTCCTTATGGATAAAAGTCCTTTTAGGCATCCATTTCTAGAATAAGGAGGCTTCGTCCATATTGAGTATTTGTTCTGGCAAGTAATTCTCCTCCACAATCAGCTTAACTGAGTTTCCAAAAATTCTTCAGCTGCCTTCACATCAGCACTCACAGACTCACCACTAACTTTCACGTTATGTAATGAATAACGATTCTTGAATTGTTTAAACCACCCAGAGCTAGCAGTAAATTCAAAATCGTAGTCGGGTCCAGCCTTTTCTTTCAACATCGCAAACAAACTTTTTGCTTTGGCCATGATTGTCATGGTGCTGAGAGGAAAATGCTTCTGTGTCTGGTCTTCAATCCAGGTCATTA